ATCGACCACCGAAGAACGCAGATCGAAGATCGACCACCGAAGCTCGTTGAACCACATTCACACTTGATCGATCTCGACCTTGTGTACCACGTAGATAACCCTTTGATCTTGGTCGATCTAGGTCGATCTTGGCCAGATCGGCATTGTGTGCGCCACATCAATCGATCTTGGTGTGTGTCATACCATCATGATTAAGCTCCACATGATTACGCCAAGTGATTACGGATCCCCGTCCCATGTGATTAATAATCAGTTGCCACGTGGCACTGCGACACGTGACATATTTTTGAAGAGTCGCTTCACCACAGCCGCTCCCTGCACCAGGTGCGGAGGTAAAGCGTTCGCGCCTGGCGCACACTCTTGCGTCGTCCCCACCCACTCTCCGCCTCCTCCCATGCGTTCCCAGTGCCTCTGACTTGTGTACAAATGTCTGGTACTCGCATTCCGTGTAGGTTGTCCATGTGTGACGTATTATATCGTATCTCGACTAATACTGTGTGTATTACGAACAGTACGAGATATTGCTGCATCCACCCATTACCAATGTACTACCAAATCATTCCGTGGTGTGTTGCATCGATGGTATCGGCTGTTACATCCCTGTTGGATGTTCATTGTTCTTCTGCTGACGTTAGGATGGTTTTGACAATAGTGATGTTCGATCTTCGCTCTGAGGGCAGACCCACCGTAGTGTATAAGATTCGAGCTTGCTTTGGAAGCGTTTGTTGATCTGCCGTTGACATGTTGTCATTCCTGATGTCTCCAATTGCTATCTGGGCAAGGTAAACTTGCGATCTTCTTCGAGGGGTCAATCTTAACCTGACAACTGGTGAATGCTTACATTGGTTCAATATATGTTGATCATCACATTCCTACGTCGGGTGTAGGCATCAGTCGGATTTGGATCCAGGACTTTGGTTATCACGATTGTCTTCCAAGCTGTCGTACGCCGAACGAACTTTGGCTTTCGATCTCAACTTGTTGTGACAAGAGCTTGGTCTTCAAGTTTCAATGTTTGTCTTCAAGCTGTCATCCGCCTTGACCTCCAGATTTTGATCTCGTCCTTAGTATCGAACTTCGGGAAGTTCAACGGTCTCCATAACACGGCTGGACACAATTATCTTCGAGAGATTCAAGGTTTGTATCTTGATCTGTCAGTTTCACCTCAGTTTCCGTAACACCCTTGATAGCCTCATTTCTTTGCACTCACTCATCCTACAAATAATACCCGTTATCCAATGTATGCGGCCACCCCGCACACTTTTCTTCTCCCCACTTGTACTGGCTTCTACGGCAGGTCCCCAGCATCGACTTCGTGTGACCGCATCATGTTAAAACGGCTGCGGCTCGTTCAGTCACGTTCAACTCGGCCAAGAGCGCCCCACAGTTTAGGCCAGCTTCGTCCACCCATGTAGGCTCGTCCAATAGATCTGAAATTCTCTATGCACGCGGTCGTATCGTGTTCGACGACCTGATCTCACGTCGGCTATTCGCTCCACCTCGAATTCGTCCTCGTTCAAGGACACTTCCCCGCTATCTTCAGGGAGCGGAGTCTCGTCGAAGTGGACCCGACTTTCTTCACTGTCTACGAGGACGTGGTTGGGTGATCTGGGAACGCTTTGACTAGTTTCAACTTCGACAGGTGCACCACCGGGAAGATGCTGTACCCGTTCCCACTGGTTTCCAAGCATGCCGCGTGATCGCCGATAACTTCAGCTACGGGAAAAGGGCCATGTCACATGTGGGCTAATTTTCGCGCGAAGACTTCCTTCACCCGGTCCAGGTAAAGCCATACTTGTGATCCTGGCTCGATCTTGTGGGTCTAACTCGCTCATTGTGTCGTTCAGCTCTGGCTTCGATCGCATTCCGTAGATCACCGGTCACCACCTCTCTTGCTCGCTGATATTGCGATTGCATGTGATACCTCTATCGGTGGTCCCTCCGTCCTGTAGATCCGACCGAGAGGGTCGCTTCCAGCGTCTATCTTGCATCCCATCCGTGCACCAGGTAGAAAAACGTATCCCCGCGGACTCGGTCCTGAGCAGTGTTGAGCGCGAACGTCAGACGTTCTGCGTAGTCATCCCAGTCCTGTTGGTTGACGTCGGCGACATACATTTTTAGCGTTCGCGTCAACGTTTGCACCGTCCGTTCCGCTTTCCCGTTACCCTGTAGACGGTATGCGATTGTCGCACTCTGCCTCATCTTCACAATCTCATTGAAGGGGCGGAAGGCATCAGCCATGAATATCGTGCCTGATTACTACACTTGCACCGAACCGTCTGAAGACACATTCTTCGTAGTTCTCCGCCACGGCCTGGGCCTCCCGCGACGATCTCGCGTTAGCAATCACATACCCGGTGAACAGATCGGGCCAGATCAGCAATTCTGTGTTCCCTTTGAAGGACTTCGACAGCGAGGGGATATGGTCCATGGATATGACCTGAAACAGGGACGTACCTAGCACGTTCCCTGGGGATCTTCCTTGATCTGTTGGTTTCCCTTTACCCGTCTCACAGTCTGTGCAACTTCCTACGTAGCTCTGGACACTCCGGTAGAGATTACGCCAGTAAAAACGCGTCTGGATCCTACGGTATGTCCTTCCCACGCCCTGATGACCTCCTTCCAGGCTCGTGTGGTAATGATGCAGGAAGTCCTGCTGCAAACTTGCCGGCACCAGCAGCCGGACGTCGCGGTCTTCGTCTCGCATCAGGGACTTCGGGCTGTAGAACAGCAGCCCGCCTTCGTCGATATCATACGTCGCGGCGATCTTCGAACATGTCTTCCTTCGACAGGTCGCGCAGGTCACCGTTCAGGTAAGCTTTTAGATCGACGATCCACTTTTCTTCATCTTGTGCCTGCTTGATCCGCTGACTTCGTATACGTTGTACTATAGATTCGTTCATCACCGTCGTAGGTGCGGCTCGATCCACTGCAGATCAAGTGATCGCGTTCACGTGTGTTACCGATCTGGTTGATCTTGACTGTAGTATTCGTGCAATCTGTTGAGCGTGGTCAGGTCCCGTCGTTCCTCTTCTGCCGTCACGATTACGTCTTCCTCCCGCTGCAGTGCAGCACTGGTGAGCTTGTCTGCGCTTTGGTTCCAATCTCGCTTTACGCGCAGGAATTTGCGCTACGGCCAAGATCGCAGTTGGTTCAACGCCTTCTGGCGTAGCAGCTGCAGGCCTGGCGCTTTGCAGTCGAACTCGCCTCTCATCTGGCGGATCACCAAGTTGGAGTTATCACGACTCGCCATCTGGCTTGATCCGAGAGGAGATCGAAACCCATCAGCAATCCCCTGTACTCCGCCTCGTTCACGGTCAAGTCCGGCATGGTCTCGGACATCGCTTCGAGGACCGTCCACTCGGGGAGTTTCCAGAGGATTGCGCTGTATGCGCCTCCCGCACGCTTCACTCGTCCCGATCCGTCAAAGCTTTCCACCAACAAGCTCTCTTCTGGCTCTACGGTTGGAGGGATCATGGCGATCATCTTCCGGAGTTGTTTCTTCGGGGCTATCGTGATTAGAGCTTCGTCAACTTCCGCTCGAGGAGTGATGCTCGCGGCGATCGTCCCTACGATTTCATCTTCGCCTTTGGAACACTTCGTAATTTCCAGCGTCCAATCAGACAACAATGCGGCCCACCGGCCCAAACGCCCGTCTAGTCCATTCGACTTCAGGAGCCGGGCTAGCGTGGAGAAACGCGATAGCACCTTGATCGATCTGGTGACCAACTGCGAGTAGCAGACATCCAACATACGAAAAAGATCCAGGCCTTCCTTATCTACGATCCCATAGTTCAACTCGTTGGCCTTCAGCGTCCGACTGGTAAAAGGTCACTGGCCAATACACACCGCCGTGTTCCTGCATTAAACCCGCCGGGATCACCCACTTGTTAGCATACAGAACTATGACTGGCGCCCGCCCAGGATCGAAGTGCTTCAAGATCGGAGTGGAGATGCTCTTCGCTTTGAGTATGGTGAACGCATTCATTGCTCGTGCCCAGCGATCACGTTCTGCATCCGCTGGGGTTGTCCCTTCCTCCGGTTCTCCAGTCAACTTCAACCTGGTAGTAATCCACTTCCCGAAGTTCATACAAGATCGCAGCATATACTGCAAAGTCCTCGATGAAGCGGCTGTAGTAATTCAAGTTTCCAAGGAACGGCTGCATCGAATTCAGCTTGGTGGGGAACGGGAGATTCGAGAACGCTTCGAGGTCTTTTGGCTTCACCTCCAACCTATCTGTCGACACTTGGTGGTCCAGGTAAGTCACCTTGCGCCTGCCCCTATAGCTTTTAGCTACACTGATCGACAGATTCCAACGATAACATACATCCAGCAGCTTTTCGACCTTGTTACACATGCTGTCCCACGTGTCTCCAGTCACGAGAATGTCGTCAGCGTACGATCGTCGCCCCAAGATCGACGGTTTGGGTTCTGGCTCTGGCCCCCTTCCTCGAACACATCTACTGTATTGTCTTGGCCGGGCTTGATGCACATATGCCCGTACAGGGCGTTGTCTACGATCCGCTGGTAAATCTGCGGGGCGTTCTTTAGACCGAACGGTATCCTCGCCCACTCGAATAAGCCGAATGGCGTGATGAATGCTGAGGTCAGTCTCGCCCGCGGCGTCATGGACACGACCCAGAATCCGCTCGCCATATCGAGGGAGCAGTACCAGAGCACCTTGTCCAAGTCTAGATCGTTGATCAACGGCATCAGGTACACCATCAGCCTTTCCAATTTGTTTACCACTTGGTAATCGATACAGAGGCGGATATCCACGCCGTTAGCCTTGATAATGACTACTATTGGTGACGTCCAGGGTGAGGTTGATGGAGTGATGATCGTCACCGACGGCAGTCCCTTGATGAGCACGGATAACTTTTCGCGGAACTATGGGGCTACTATTCGGCAGCGCTGGGCTACAGGTTTCGCATTTCCGACATCAATATCGCAGATCGCCCCATAGGCGGCGATGGGGCAGTGCGTTTCAGGCTCCGATCAAGAGGTGACGCCGCTTTCATATGATGCGACGCAGCCGTTCGCACTGTTCCGGCGTCGCATCTGGATCTTCGACCTATATCGTCTATCGTGACTTCTCTCATGGTGATCTCGACTTCCGGCAACACCGCCATGTGGTTCTCGACATCTTCCGGGAAGATGTCTCCGCCCTCGTGGTAACAGACGGCGTCATCCATGTCGTCGTCGGTTTCCCTGCCCGGCTTCACCAGCGCTTCTGCTGGCCCGATCTTGTGATCAGGTTCCCCTGTCTGGTCTCTCGGCTCGATTTGTTCCTGATCTACTGTCGTGTCTTCCATAGCGACGTGATCTGCATCCCCCGGTTCAGGTTTTAGTGGTTCACCTTCTGCCGCCGGTTCTTCGATCTTCGTCTCCTCCCTGGGTGATGGTTGGACCGACATCCGCTTCCGCGGTTTCGGCTCTTTCTTCAAGATCTCTGTTGGTGCGTTGTACTGCGGTCTGTCGACCGATGGTCAGCCATGACTTCGTCCAAGTTCTCTGTCGGTGTTTCGGCGGTGGTTGCATATCTTCGTGATCCGACCGAGACGTATCCCGGGGTCCGCGGTACGTGATCTCCAGCTAACCAGATTCCGATACGGGTGTCGCGTTGCAGCTTTATTGGTGGATCTGACACGTTCGTGATCCGTAGGTACTGCGTCCGGTCTAGGCCTCCAACAACTGTCGGGACCCATCGATCTCCGCGGTTGACCCACAATTTCAGCTTATTCGACGGCGATTTCCGGACAGCGATCTCCACGGATCCTGCCACTGGAACATTACCATGTTGGTCGAGCGTGATCAGTCTAGCATTCCCGCTGAAGAGCTACCGACACCCAGATAGCTGGATGCGTACTTCGTCTGGGAGGCACAATGACCCATCACCGAGATCGAGACGGATGCCTGCCGGGACCATGAAGTCCATATCGCCTCCTGACCCGACAAGTCGCCGACCCATGCGTCGAAGTAGTATACGTATGCTCCTGCGAGCGTGATCTTGATACGGGGTACGTCCTTCTGTCATGTATGCGTTCTATCCGATCCCCACGCACTCTTGTCTCTGACTATTGTTTATAGTGCATCCCACCTTACGAGCAAAGGTAATGCACAATTGAGATCTCCGCGCCGGAGTCAAAGAGAAGTGAGGCTCTTTTGTTGTTGATCTTGGCTGTAGACTTGGCCTGTTAAAACCACTTGCCAGGAGCATGGTACTTCCAGTATCCTCTTGACTCCCCTGGCAGCAGATCTAATACCATGACCACATCCGTGCGGTAGTAATCGTCCTTCCGCAGGTTCGTGATCGCAAAGGTAGGCTTCTTGTGCAATTCACATGTATTGTCGATCTGCTTACTATCCTCCGGTTTCTCTCGGTTGTCGACGAAAGCAAAAACACATATTTCAGAACGCTCGGCTCGTACCAGATTCCAACCTGGCGAGCGTTCTAATTTAGCATCTTCTCCGCATTCGTTGGCAACATTCCTGCACGTTTGTTCGGGACATACCACTGGCGGATCAGGTTGTTGAACTCTTCCATTGGACACTTTCCGGGATCGTGTATCTCTCGGCATGCGCGGCAGACGAAGAGACAGTGGTCGAATGGGTGCCCCTTCCGCCCACACTTCTGGCACGTCAGTCGCTTCCAACATCCCATATTGTCGTGTTTTGCGGACCCGCATTGGGTACAATTCTTCTGCGACATTGTGGTGTGGTCGAAGGAGTTATCTTGGCGTGCCGGCGTAGATGCTTGGATTCCTCGTTCCTTCGATTCTGCGAGATACACCCGGCGACATTCGGCTTCTTGCTCGGGTCCGCTTGCATCGGATTCCGATTCACTGCTGTCGCCCTTCTGGATCACTCGCACGGTTCGCGCATTCTTCGCCGGTACGGACTGGTTTTTGGGCGTCGACTTTTGGCGGAATTGGTTTGATCCAGCATGCGCTTTGCCCTGGCGGGCTTTTGCGCACTGACGGGCACGTAATGTTTCTTCCAGATCTTCCGCGACCGTCAACCGAAGCAGCGCCAGTTGAGCAGCCAGATCACGATCATCCAGCGTTTCGATGAAGTGTTCGACATGTCCGCGTTGAGTGGCCGCCAGGTCATCCTTGATCTGCAGCCTCGCTCGCATACCGGCCACATCAGTCAATGGAGGTACTCCATGCGTGACTCGTCCGATCGCTTCTTTGCGTGGTAGTACAGCCTCGCGACAGATAATCCTCTCCCGCAGTATTGCGTCTGGAAAGCCTCCAAAACGTGTTCCCAATTGCTTCGGGTAGATCGGCTCAGCTGTCGATACCAGTTGCGCGCTGGGCCAGTGAGCAGATCACCCAGCGCCAGGCACTTCTCGTTGTGTGGGGCTTGATCTCGGACAAACGCAGACTTCACCTTGTCCAGCCAGCTTCTCACACGATCTTCGTCCTAGTCTTTGCCAGAGTACTGCTTCAGTTCCGAGATTGCGGATACTCGGATCCGGGGCGTCATCGTCGACGAAGTGGAGGTTGGTCCTACAACTGCTCCTGCGGATGCGACTACTGCTTGTCATGGTGTATCGATGCTCAGGTTATCTGGATCGTATTCGTCGTGTGAGTCGTGATATGACTCGACGGACTCCATCTCCACGTCTTGGGCGTTCTGATCGGGTCCACACGTAGTACTTTTGTTACTCATTGAGGTATCGATTCATCGCCGCGTTGAAGAATGCCTGCATCTGCTCGGGACTTCGTGCTGGTGTTACGACCGGCGTCGACTCAGATGATGTTCGTCCCGGCTTGGCGTTAGCCTGGCATCGCGTAGCATCGTTTCTCTTGACGGGCCAAGCGTCATACGCTGCAGATCGACCGAACTGTCTGATCCGGCTTCGGACATAGCTGATGCGTATTGTGACGACCTTGTTTGGTATTCCGGGCTGCGGACTGGTGTCCGCTTGATCGTCTTCGGCAGTGCGACTGATTCAACTAGCGGCTCCAGCTTCTTGTATAGCAACGTCTCTAAGCGGTGGATCACCGTCGTCTCCAGGGCGAACAAGTCACCCGCGCTGAACGACCCTGGCATGATGCCAGAGACGTTCAGTGTGCGAAGGAGCTGTGTTGCGGCCTCCAACTGTCGAGACGTCTTCGTTGGTGGCGTCGTCGGGCCGTGGAGCTCTCCGATCAACGTCGGGCGCAGGATCGGCATCACGGGATCATCAAGTAAGAACGCGAAGAGGTTTTTCTTGTGGAAGATCTGTGCCAGTTCTTCCTCGGTCCAAGTCCGCTCGTCATGATCTTCCGCGTCCGAGTCCGGATCCTTCAGCATCTTCTTTCCGGACTTCGGCTTCTTCTTGTTTGAGCCGACACCTGTGGTCGACGGGATGTTTGTGGATGAAGTTCTTTCGGCTCGCGCCGTCCGAGCTTCTTCCAGCAGAGCACGACCCTCATCACAGTCCGCGGGGGCTCCCGAAGGAGCCTGTGGAGGAGTGTGAGGTTTCTCTTCCAGGTCCATGTCAGGGTGGCATCGTCCGGGTTCCTCCCAGCACCCAGGCTTTGCGTGTATCCTGCTTCACTCAGCAGCGTCTGCGGCGATACACCTTCCGCTGACGCCACAGTCCCTGGTTCCAACTTGATCTTGGTGGCATCTTCATCGGACTCACGGTGAAATCCCTGTGAGTCAGAAGATCCGGGCACGCGCACCATTGTGGCGAAGTGGCTTGGCAGAAATTGCTGACTGTCGCTGTCCAGCTTGCTACAGTGCCTCGGACGACAGACTAACGGAGGGGGTACTCCGAATGTCCGCTGACGCTGAGATTCTTCTCACCTTGTGTACCCGTCGGTGGGGCAGGGATGCACTGTTCCGGTGACTCGAGGATGCTTTGGTTATCGATCTTGGGGATTGTATGGACGGTACTTTGGATTGTTGACTGCCGCGCGGTTACTTCTTCACGCGGCGTCGGATGTGGGATGTAGATCAAGTAATCGATCCACGTGTCCTTGTGTTGTGTGTTGTTTTCCTTTCCGTTGCTTGCTGCTTCCGATAGCGGGATCTTGAGGGGGTTGGTGATCACTCCCTAGCCAAGCGATCTAGGGGTCGGTGTCTTCCCTTCGTGTGCGCTCGTGTCTTCTTGGTCGTCAGGAGGGCCAATATGCGTTCCCTGTCTGGTATGGAGCGCCACATGGCTTAAGAAGAGAAGGGACCCAATGTGAGGGGTCCAAAGAATATTTTGAAGTCTGCCTATCTCTCCCTAGCCTATCCGCACAGCCACTCATTCCTAAACCGTACCTACGTGTCGTAATCACGTTCTTGTATCCATATCAGTCATACTCATCTTGTATCATGAACCGGGTACATCACACAGGTTTGTAGATCGAAGATCGAAGATCACCGATCGAAGATCGAAGTTCGACCACCGAAGAACGCAGATCGAAGATCGACCACCGAAGAACGCAGATCGAAGATCGACCACCGAAGCTCGTAGAACCACATTCACACTTGATAGATCTTGGCCAGATCGACATTGTGTGCGCCACATAAGTCGATCTTTGTGTGTGTCATACCATCATGATTACGCTCCACATGATTACGCTAAGTGATTACGGATCCCCGTCCCATGTGATTATTAATCAGTCGCCAACAGTCTCCACGTGGCACTGCGACACGAGTAGCTTCACCACAATGTGGTACACGACCTCGAGCATCGGTACTACCACGTCTTTAATGATCTTTGAACGTTCTTGCAGGTATATAACGTGGTCAGTCTGGATGAAGTAGTCGAAGATGCAGCTTCGACTACTTCTCGTGCGAGTGTGGATTCCCTATTCTCCATGCAGCAGCAATGGTAGGACATTTTGATTTGCTAGATCATGGGGATAGCAAGAGTTCCAAAAGCTATCGTGATACCCGGCTGGCTGTGATGTCGGGTTTCTTCACAAAGCGACTTGCCACCGCGAGTGCTGAGTTGGTGAACGGAGTGGACTAAAGGGAGCCGTCGTTGGAAGTTCTCTGTCAATAACGGTGGTCCACTCAACCGAACTTTACGGGACTACGGCTCGTGACCAACCCTCGTAGGTCCTTTTATAAGGACCTTCAACCACCAAGTCTCTATATCGGGAGCTGTGTACGACACTCCAGATGACACGTAGTCGAGGTCCGCACTTAGGCGAGTCATCGTCGGGTGATTGGCCGAGTCATCGTTAGTCGTTTGAGAGTCGTTAGCTTAGTCCCATTTATACTTGATATTTGTATACGCTATAAAAGGAGTTAGGACTAGTCTTAACGCCCACTAGGATGGAGAACAGAACATAATTTTCTACTTAAAATCAAGACTTGTTTTGGGTAAGTTCAAAAGAGCCACGTCACTTAGGTGGCATATATGTCTGTTGGTGAACTCGGTTGAAGAACTCCTGTTCATCCGTGGCAAGACAAGCGCTAGGTG